AGCTTGTGCAGTGCTCCCTAAATTGCCTTGGTCTGAGAGAATGTCTAGGAAGTAGGCTGCTTCAGAACTGTATCACTGCTGTCCTTTCTTTATCTACTGTGAAAGCCCTGAGCAAACATAAACATGGCACAGCCTTCCTCTTGTGAGCCAAGTGGGCCGAGTGTCATAGACAGAGGTGGGAAGTCCTGCTCAGTGATGTCCATTCTCAGAGACTTTTTCTGTGCCTACAAGGAGCTGCTTAAAATTTTCAATATCCATTTGCATCTGTATTGCATAATGCACTGGTAATGTGATATCCCAAAGGGCCTTTTAACTTATACTGGAGGGGCATTTTTGTTAGACTACATAAACGGTATCTATGTTTTTGCATAGTACCCAAAATAGGCACTTTTATTTTCGGATGCATGACATCTTAAAACATACATTAAGGGGAAACTGTATATTTCTAAGGTAAGAAAATAAAAATGCATTTCTTACTTTTAAAATTTTGTTCTTCCTTTCTTATAATTCCAAGGTCTTTGCTAATAAGAATGGTATTTTTTAAGATTATTTTAAAAAGTTGAGTTTATTTGAGAGGCAGAGGAAAAGAGAGATCCTGTCTGATTGTTCATTCCCCAGCGAAGTCTGAAACTGGGAACTCAATCCAGGTCTCCTATAGGGATACCAGAAATTCACCTACCTGAGCCACCACTGCTCCTGCCGGGGTCCACACTAGCAGAAAGCTGGAATCAGGAGTGGCAGTGAGGGGTTCAACCCAAATGCTCTGATGTGGGACATGCCTATCTTAACTGCTGCCCCAGGATGTCCTTTCTAACCAATGAAAAATAAATCTGTCAACATGAATGTAAACATATAATTTTCTGTGGGGTGGGCATTCGGTACTGCAAGTTAAGATGTAGTTTAAGACTACAGCGTCACATATGGATGCCTGGTTTGAGTCCTGGCTCCTCCACTTCCAATCCAGCTTCCTGCTTGCGTGTACCCGGGGAAGCAGCAGATGATAGCTCAAGTACTTGAGTCCCTTTTGCATACATAGGAGACTCAGACTGAATTCTGGCTCCAGGCTTCACCCTGGCCCTGCCCTCGCTGTTGCCAGCATCTGGGGAGTGAACCCTGGATGGAAGATCTCTTATCTTTCTGACTCTGTGACTCCCCGCCTTTCAAGTAAAATGAAAATTTAAAAAAACAACTAAAAACTATCTGTTGTGACAACTTTCTGTTTTTTCTACTTCAAAAAGTTCACGAAAACTGGAACTAAAAGATGTTTATTTTGATGTAAAAAACTTTAAAAATATGCATTGTGCTTGTATAGTAGACATTTTCCATGAATTTTTTGAAGATCCCATTTCCGTGTATACATGGGTTTCAAACATTTTGTTGTGCCAAAATAAACTTATCTTTTAGTTCCATTTTTCTACAAACTTATTCAAGTACTCTCGTAGTATCACAGCAGGAAAAGCAGTATTCAGCTTAAAAACTGAAAGTCTTTCCATGTTGCGTGGAGGTGCTGTAAAGCTGCTGGGCTGGGTGAGATGTGAAAGACAATTGTAATAAAGGAGTAATGGGAGGCCGGTGCTGTGGCGTAGCGGGTAAAGCTGCCGCCCTTAGTGCTGGCATCCCATATGGCTGCCAGTTCGAGTCCTGGCTGCTCCACTTCTGATCCAGCTCTCTGCTATGGCCTGAGAAAGCAGTAGAAGATGGGCCAAGTTCTTGGGCCCCTGCGCTCGCATGGGAGACCCAGAGGAAGCTTTTGGCTCCTGGCTTTGGATCAGCCCAGCTGTGACTGTTGCGGCCAATTGGGGAGTGATTCAGTGGATGGAAGACCTCTTTTGCTCTCTGCCTCTGTCTTTTTAACTCTGCCTTTCAAATAAATAAATAAATAAATCTTAAATAAATCTTTAAAATAAAATCTTAAAATAAATGAATAAATCTTAAAAACCAGGAGTAATGGGTAGTGCATGGTGTTGGATGGCAGAGTTCTAAGGTAACACCCACGAGTGACTGTGGGGCTGATCATTTGAGCATCTTGAAAGAACTGGGAGAGAGCTGTCATCAGCAATTGATAAATATTTCAGGGTCAGTCATCCTTACAGTTGCCTGCACTGGAAAATATTTAAATGTAAGTGCAGTTATTTATTTTTCTTTCATTGCTTTATTCTGTAATCAACGGCACTTTCCATGTGCCAGCTTTGTGCTAAGCTTTATGGAGAGAAAGAGAGAAGGCACAGGCCCTTCCTGCAAGAAGTGCTTACTGAGGAAGAGAGACAGCTAAATAAACAGGAGCACATTTAAAAGGTCAGGGAAAATGGAATTAAAAGATAAATTTATTTTGGTGCAAAACATTGGAAATCCACATATGCTAATAATAAGAATTCAAGGAGCAGATGTGGACACTTAGCTTGCTGTGATACCGAGCAAGAACCACCTGTTCTTTAGAAAGGGGGATAAGGGGGTGCCAGGAAAGGCCCTAAGAGAGAGATGGTACCGATCCCAGTCACTAGTCACTGTTGCCTGCTATGACCTTTTTTTTTTTTTTTTTGGACAGGCAGAGTGGACAGTGAGAGAGAGAGAGCTTTTGCCGTTGGTTCACCCTCCAATGGCCGCCACGGCTGGCGCGCTGCAGCTGGCGCACCGCACTGATCTGAAGCCAGGAGCCTGGTGTTTCTCCTGGTCTGCCATGCGGGTGCAGAGCCCAAGGACTTGGGCCATCCTCCACTGCACTCCTGGGCCACAGCAGAGAGCTGGCCTGGAAAAGGGGCAACCGGGACAGAATCTCACGCCCCGACCGGGACTAGAACCTGGGGGGTGCTGGCGCCGCAGGCAGAGGATTAGCCTATTGAGCCGCAGCGCCGGCCCGCCTGCTATGACTTTTAAAACTCATTTATTTGACAGACAGGGACACAGACGGAGAGAGAGAAAGAGGGGGGAGAGACAGAGAGAGAGAGAGAGAGAGCGCTCTCATCTTGTAGTTCACTTTCCGAATGCCTACAACAGCCAGGGCAAACCAGGGCACAGGCCTCTAGCAGGAAACTCCATCAGAGTTTCCCACGTGGGTTGCAGGGACCCAACTATTTGATCCATCACCCGCCGCCTCCCAGGGAAGCTTCAGCAGGAAGCTGGAATCAGGAGTGGAGCTGGGACTAGAGCCCTGGCACTCCACTATGGGGTGCGAGTATCCCAACTGCTGCCTTCGCTGCTGCCCCAAATGCCCATGCCCACCCATCTTGACACATCCACTGCTTCTAGGGTTACGTGGGAGCAGTGTGGCCACAGACGTGTCTCGTGTTTCAGGGTTTTGTCGTGACATCTGATTTCTGACATATAATCAATGCAAAGGATCATTTGTCTCCTTCACGCTAATGACTCCTCTCAGAGCGCGCGCACTGGATCATTGGGTGGAAATGTTTGTATTTTTAATACATTTGTGGCATGTGGGATTTGAAACTTTTCAAACATATATCGGACAACTTTGAAATGCATCTTGGGGGGGACCACAAAATACTTCCCTTACTGTTGTACTCTTGGTAATTTCGGGATTACTTTTGGAACTGTTTGCTTTGCCAGGAATTTGCCTGTAGACTTTGAAAAGTCATCAATTTTCCTATGTGCTTGTGAGAGACAGGCTTGTCCAATCTGGGCTTGGATTTCACCTTGCCTTGATTAAGGCATCTGCTTTTCTTACACATTAAATTGGATTCCGAGATCTCTTAAATCTTCTTGCCAAATTTGCAGGAAGCGTCCTCTTTAGGGGTCAGGTATTTGCAGGAGTGCTTGCCAGCAGTTCATTCTCCACGTGGAAACAAGACACTGCATTTCTGCTTCTTCCTGGCTACAGTTGGGGCACCTGCCATTCTGCACTACCCTAGCTGGGCTTCCACGCTTATTTTTGCACCCCTTGGGGGTTGAGCAGCCTCTACCAACCCCACCCCACTGACTGAATTGGAAGCATTCCCCTTCAGAGCTGCAGACCTGACCTTGCTGTCCCTTCTGCTGTGCTCCTGTCCCTTGATTCCTTCTTTCCAGGTCAGCTTCTGTTCTGCCCACCTTTTCAGTACTCAGGCTCTGGCTTTCAGGGCTCGCTGTCCCCACCCCCTGCTTTCCACGCCACCTGCTTTCCACGGCTGTGCTCCTCCATTGCCACCTGGCATCCACCCTTCTCCTCCAACCCCTCCCCCAGCCACACTGGCCTCCTGCTTCTTGCTCAGCAGGAGAGTTTTGATCCTGGCCTCTCCCTCTCTTGGAATCTGTTGCCCAAACAGCCTGTGGCTTGTTCCGACAATGCCTTCAGGGTTTTGCTCCAATGGAGTCATCTCAGTTCTATCTGCTGTATTTGTGTCAGTCTCCTCTCTTTGGAATGTAAACTCCTATAAGGCCACAGATTTTTATCTTAACCTCCAGGGCCTTTAACAGTTCATCAAAGTGCTTGGGTGGTACCTGTTGAATAAAGGAATGAATGGTTTCTTGCTTGGGAGCAGAGTACAGATGAAAGGTGCTGCTATGGCTTTGAGAAGCTGTGCCCAGGGCAGCGCAGTGGTGCCCATGGAGCCCTGAGAAGCTGTGCCCAGGGCAGCGCAGTGGTGCCCATGGAGCCCTCACCTGCCTCGTCCCTGGCTGGTGGAGACCAGCTGGGCCCCAAGGCCCTTTGAAATGCCAGCACTCTGTCACAGTCCTGGAAGTGAGATGACGTTTGTGCGAAATGCTATTTGATATGACTTCACAACTTGTTGTTATAGTCTTCTATGTCTATAGTCTGCGATGGTTAAGTGCCTCCTTTAAAGGAAAAACAGTAGCTGAAGTAAGCAAAACACTGCTTCTAATGAAGGGGTAAAAATGAATGCATTTTCATTTACTGCTGTGTTGGCTGTCTCTTTTTTTAAAAATAATGTATTGATACAAATTTTAAAGGAATTACCATTTTCTGTTGTTAAAGGTATGTAATGCATGCATGCCTATTTTTGTCAAGTAGAAGAGCTATAGTAATCATTTTTTCCTGTTTTTAGCTTTCCCTTCTGCGGAGGCAACTTTAAGAAAGGAAGACTTCCCTGTGACCTCTGCTTACGTCCCTGGAATATCCCTTCCCTTCCCAGGTGAGTGTACCGCTTTGCTTTGATTCATTCTGAGCAGAGGTATTGATTCTCTGAAAAACCTGTGTCATTGTTATAATAAGGCAAAGAGCCTTTTTGCTACCTGGCAAGAAAAAAAAATCAGAAAAATTGGAACAAAAAAAAAAGCTTCAAAAAAAGAAAGAAAGAGATAGAGAAGAAAACTCTGACGTTCCGAGGTCCCTGCCAGGACCAGGGTGCCAGGGATGATGATTTGCTGTTCCAAGGTACTGTGGGTGCACCTTCTAGAATATTCTGCATGTTACTGTTTGTTGTATGCTCTGTTCTGTTTATCGGTAAATCTCCCAGGTATTTGAAATGCCTCTGTTAACGCACATTTGATTTGAAGACAACTGAAACACTAAACATGGTGACACTTCCATGAATGTTCTGTGGTTGGGGGTGGGGTCAGTAGCAAGGGCAGGGGGATCTCCACATGGGCATTGAAGCTGTCAGTATTTAAAGGTTCAGCCGGGTCTTTTTTTTTAAAGTGGCCTCTTGTTTAAGGTGACCGGAAAAAGACATGGAGGCATGAAAGAAAATGACCTGTAATGTTCTTGCGGCCAAACTTTTTTGAATTTAATCATCTTAACACTTGAAACTTCCTGAGAAATGTATGTGCCAGTGGTTTTGAAAGGAATTCACAAACACTGATCCCTAGGCCCTGTTCATGTGATTGCAGTTGCAGGAAATAAACTAGAAGCTCCCTTTGTGTTTGGCTTCTTGTTATCTTAATCAAACTTAAGTAGATGATAAAGTCAGTTTCTCCTTGAAAGTTTCCTTTTTCAAAACTTCTATGGGACCGGTTTTTGCTCTTGATGCTGTGAGTGCCAGAGACTGGAGAGAGATCGCTGGGAGCCCTAACAACCCTTGTGCCTTTCTTTGGTGTTCAATGGTCTCCAACAAAGCATGTGCTAGTTTTCCCTGGACACCTTTCTTTCCCCATCTGAGATTTCCTAATGCTGGCCCTCCATGACAAGTGATTTGTTCTTGCCCCGGCTCATCTTCCTTTCACACCAGCAGCGCTGACTTTCCCAGGTCAGCACTTTGCCGGAGAATGACTCAGAGCTCAGGTTCCCCAGTAGGGTCAGGTGTGGGTCCTCTGAGGCCACTTCACCTGACCTTGAACCAGGTCTCCAGAGGGAATGGGGAAAGTGGGCCATGGTGATGCGGTCCACCACGCAGTCCACTGGAGCCAGTCTGCCTGCTATGCTTTTAAACAAAATGGGGGAGGGAAGGACATTCTTAGGAAAAGAAATTAGGAGTTTCGACTTAAAATAAAGATTTCATTTATTTGAAAGGCAGAGTTACAGAGAGAGAGGGAGACACAGGAAGAGAGAAGGAGATCGATCTTCTCTCTGCTGGTTCACACCCCAAATGGCCTCAACAGCCAGACCTGGAGCAGGCTGAAACTAGGAGCTTGGAACTCCATCTGGGTCTCCCACATGGTTGGCAGGGGCCCAAGCACTTGGGTCATTTTCTGTTGCTTTTCCAGGCACATTGGCAGGGAGCTGTATCTGAAGTGGAGCAGTCAGGATTTGAACTGGCACATTATGGGATGCTGACATTGCAGGGGGTGGCTTATCCAGCTGTACTCCAACACGAACCCAAAACTAGGAGTTTTAATGTTTTCTTCTTATTCACAAAAATTAAACAGGCTGCTACAAGCATGGCTACAGAGAGAATTCCTTTCCTAATGAAGACTACTCTGATATTCCAGAAAGTGTAATTCTATTATATTTGAGAATTTTAGTGCCCATTGTTCGAGAGATTCAAGAGTTTGAGGATTTCATACACATTTATTATGAAGTTCAAGAATGATTATGATTTGAAACACTAAGTTATCAATTAAGCTCGTTGGCATGTTTTCAATGTTCTGTTTTCATCAAACCAAAGACAAATCCTGTGATACTACGTGTGCATTGCTCTGCTGTTGTTAGTTGTTGTTACTTATTAATGCTTTAATGAGTCACTGTGAGTATGGAGACTGGTTTTCTTAAAAAAAACAAGAGGAAGAAACGAAAGGAAAGGTGGTTGGGTTGAGGCAGTTCTGTGTGAAAAGACTGCCCCGTGACTGTGCCAGAGACCTGAATGGTTCATCTGTCGTCATCACTGGCCCTGAATCCTCATTGTGCAGATGAGGGATGTGGGACTCCAGAGGTTGCTGCGTGGTTAGACACACAGTGAGTGGGAAGCTGAAGTCTACCCGAAACTCTTCTGATGAATCCCCAGTGGAGCCTTGACAGTTGATTCCTTCGTAATGACAGGGTCCTTATCAATGCAATGGGAAAGTTGACCACAGGAAGTTAGGCAAGGGGGAAGATTACAGGGAAACATGGATGACTGGTGGGGTATTAGGGTGATTCCACAGACACCAGCAAAGTCTTCAAGTAGTCAAAGAAGGGAAGAGACAGAAAAGTCAAGGAGGGGCCGGCGCTGTGGTGCAGCGGGTTAACACCCTGGCCTGAAGCCCCAGCATCCCATATGGGCACCGGTTGGAGACCTGGCTGCTCCACTTCTGATCCGGCTCTCTGCTACGGCCTGGGAAAGAAGTACAAGATGGCCCAAGTCCTTGGGTCCCTGTACCCACATGGGAGACCCGGAAGAGACTCCTGGCTCTTGACTTCAGATAGGCACAGCTCCGGCCATTGTGGCCAATTGGGGAGTGAACCATCGGATGGAAGACCTCTCTCTCTCTCTCTCTCTCTCTCCCTCTCCCTCTCCCTCTCTCTGTCTCTCTCTCTGCCTCTCTTCTCCCTGTGTAACTGATTTTCAAATAAAAATAAATAAGTCTTTAAAAAAAAAAAAGTCGAGGAATGAGAGATAGAGACTGGAGAGCACCCAGCACCCATATTGGAGAGAAGGACGTGCACCGTGACTGCAGCTCTGCCCAGAGATAAGCTGGAGTTTCAGCACCTCCCTGTCTCTTCCCTCCCTGTCCGGTGTCTGCTCCCATTTCCAGGTGTGAGTGGGGAAAAGGGTCAGGTGCTCTGAGAGGCCGGGGGAGACGTGGTGCTCCATGCTCGTCCAGACCTCTGCTTAGTGACCTCTCTCTTCCATTAAGTAGGATAAAACCTTGTTAAATAGTCCGTATTTTTGAAATGAATCTGTCTTCAAGGATGTGATAGAAAACCTTGAAAATATTCTTAGTGTGCATTTATTTTCCTTTGAGAAATAACCCTCTTCATCAGGGGAGAGACAGCACCTTTGCCCTCCTTGCGTGGTCTGTGGGTGCTGTTGGACGTTTACTCTCAACTTCTCAGAGTGCTGGTCTACCACTGTCCTGAAATACTCTTCATTTGCCTTTACCTTTGCTCCACAGGTCTAGGTTTTCTATAGGATGCTTAAAAAGATTTTTTTTTTAATTTAATAGAGAGAGAGAGAGAGCGCGCTCTCATTGGTTGGTTCAGAGAGAGAGAGAGAGAGAGAAAGCTCCCATTGGTTGTGTCGCTCCCCGTCTTCATGGAGGAACGACACAGGACCCTGCGCTGTCCTTCTGTCTGCTCGGCTCTCCCCGGGCTTGCTGCTGGTTCTTCCCGGGTTGGCTACTATCCCTTCCACCTCCGTGGAAGGGCAGTTCCCCCTGGCCACATTCCCCACTTCCGCAGGGGAGCGGCACACCGCCGGCCGGCTCTTCTCGGGGGCTGCACAGGTGTTCCCCTTAGATGTTCCCCTTAGATGTTCCTGGTGCATGCCGTCTCTCTCCTCCTTTATAGTCCTCCTCCGCCAATCCTAACTCGGCTGCCCACACGCCGAGTACGCTGCTCTCCAATCAGGAGCAAGTCCTACAGTTTATTGGTTGAACTGGAGGCAGCTGTGTGGAAGCTGTTTACTTCTCTCCCAGCGCCATATTGTGGGAGAGCAGATGCATAGAATAAGTCTTAATTCCAGTAACTCAGTCCAGTCCGGGCTGCTCCCCACAGGTTGGTTCAATCCCTAAATCCCTGCTGTGGCTTGAGGCCAAAGCCAGGAGCCAGAGACTCAGTCCAGATCTCACATGAGTAGCAAGGACCCAACTATGTGAACCATCAGCTGCTGCCTCCAGGGTCTGCATTAGCAGGAAGCTGGAATCTGGAAGGCAGGCTGGATTTGAACCCAGGCACTCTGCTGTGTGATACTGCCATCCTAAGCAGCATTTTAACCACTAGGCCACATTCATGCCCCTCTGTAGAACACAGTTAAACTCAAGCAGAGCATCATCCTTGGCCAAAGAGAGTCAGCCTTCAGTGTGACAGTCATGGAAGAGCCTGCCTGCCGCGGGGATGAATCCTCGCCAAGTGACTGTTACGATGCTGTGTTGACCTTTCCTCCCTGTGTGCTGGCACAGCCCCTCTTCAACTACAGACTTCTCTAGCACCAACTTAGCTGCATGCCGGCCACATCCCTTGGATCTCTGCTCTCACGCCAGTCCATCCAGTGAGCGGAAAACTCTCTTCCAAACACTCTTCTCATCCTGTTACCTCCCTGCTCCAAAACCTTGCTTCTCCCACTTTCCTATCGATTAAATTAAGATTCGCCAGCCACCTCTGTTCTGGGTTCTCCACACTTACTGAAATTCAGTCCCTGTTGAGCATCCCTGATGCACAGTGCTTGGAACCAGCAGAATTCTTTGGATTTGCATATCTATAGTGCGATATCCTAGGGATGGAACCCAAGTCTAAACCTAAAATTCATTTATGTTTCATATGCTTCTTGTACACATAGCCCAAAGACAATGTTATACAATGTTTTTTAAAAAATAATTTTGCGTATGAAGCAAAGTTTCATCTTATGGAATTTTCCATGTAGGGCATCAGGTTGGCACTCAGAAAGTTTGAGATTTTGGATTTCTAGATTAGGGCTGCTCACTCTGTATACATTACTCCTCTGTGGAATCCTTACAATTTGATTCTTGCCTCCTAAAGCCCTGGAGTTTCTTTAAGGCCCATTTAAAGTCAATTTTTCTTTAAATTTTTTTGAACAGACTCTAAGAATTCTTTCCATTC